AAATTCGTTTATTATGACTTCGAAGGGTATCGACAAACACGTCATACTAAGCGGACGTCATACAAAGCATTTTGCATGAGTTTGATTCTCCATTTTCTAATCAGCATATTATTGCACCTTTTTCCTCAGTCGTAAATGCTTTACGACGTTGAGACAACATTTCTTTTACATAGGATATCACTAAAATAATGCGTGATCTTCAAATGTAAATTACTCATGAGATTCAAAACAAAAACGAGCCACGTGCCGAACGTTGTCGGGTATCAACGAACGAACGAACAAGTGACGACCTCCGTGGTCGAGTGGTTTGTACGTCGGGTTTCATGGTGTCGCCGACTCGAGAGGTCCCGGGTTCGAATCCCGGTGGGGGCAGATGTTTGTGTGATGAATACGAGCATTTGTACTCCAGTCATGGATGTTTAATATGTATTTCTATATAAATATACTTATATATGTACAGTATATGTATTCTATCCGTTACCCTAGCATCCCATAACACAAGCCTTACAGTGCTTACTTTGGGGCTAGGCTAATTGGTGTGAGTGTCGGAAATATTTATTTATTATTTATTACCGTAGGTGTAAAGAACCATGTCGGTCACTATAAACGGACAAAAATTATTAAAAATGGGTCATAATAAAAGACATGTCACTGTAAGCGAAGTCATTATATCCGACAATGTTACAATGAATTTTATATGAAAACCAAACTTCGTTGTGTAATTACGTCATAATAGGCGGTTGGTTAATATAGGCGGAGTCATAATAAACGGATTCTACTGTAATTATCTTCTATATGAAAGGGGAGCAATAATAATTATGTAAAGAAGTGTTCAATATTTGCTTTTAAATTTAAGAAAACCTAAAATATCTTTTAAGTTTTTAATAGAGCATTGTCATCGTTTTTCAGTAACTGGCAAGCGCTAATTTAACTTATTTAAAATAGCTAAATCAATTCTTGAACTTCTCTTTCATATTCTAGTGATATAACCATAAAAATAAAATAGAAAAGCTTCATAGAAAACAAAGTCGGTGCCAAAAGTACTAAAAGTTGTGATTCAAAACTTTATTTATATTCAATAGACTTTTGAATCCATGTCTTCCAAACCAAATGCAAGTGCACGTGAACATTTAAACAGACTCGTTTCAAACTTCTGTGAATAAATAAACAAACTTATAAATTCTTAAAGTTTGCCTGTTCGTAGCTGTCTTCGACTACGGAAACAATCAGTGCTACGCGTGGCGCACGATTCCTAATATATGTGCTACGAGCCATAACTTTAATGTGAAAACTGGAAACCGGTGAATAACAGATACCAAACATAGTCAAGATATACTTTTTGTGTTGGAATTCACGAATACTATTTGGACAAAACGACGACTACATTCATTACTGTACTATTCCAGAAATATTATTGAAGAATTGGATATTCTAAAGAGTTTTAGTTGCCTTCTAAAGGACTGGAAAGCAACTATCTCCTGTCCACATTCTCGTATACTTATTAAACCTTTAGAATTGTTACTGCGCCAGCTGTCATAATATCATCAGAAAGTTTGGATATCATACAGTACTAAATTTGACTTATACAAAGATTCCGGTTTTACAAAACACTGAAAATTAATTCTAAACCACCTGTAGTATTCAACAGGTTTTTACTGCAGCTAGAACACACAGATTGTATCGAAAACTCATACAAAGTACTGCTCAAGGATTCTCGATAATTCACCTCACTATTATATTGCTATATTCGTATATTGAAACAATACAAAATAATACCACTACTGGAAGAATTGCATTCAATATTTCACCACACGTAGTGCTAACACTAATCCTATACCAGTTCCGTAGCACACAACTCTGTCGTAGTCGAATATAAACATCGGTTCGTAGCACACAACTCGGTCGTAGTCGGAAAGCGTTCGAAGGATTGGAGTTCGAGCCGTTGCATGCTTCAGTACTACGCGTTCGCGTTACTAGCATGCGTTACGGCGCTGCTACGGCATGAGGTGTGGCTGCCGACGTTGCTTCGAGCCGCGGCCGCGTGTAGCGTCCGGCCATGCGGCACCGCGCCTGCCCGTGCCGAGGGCGTACGCCGTCCACGCTTACCAGGTACCATCATCAGCCTATTAATGTCCCTAATGCTGGGGCAGAGGCCTTCCCTACGGATGCGATAGGGAAATTAGGCCATGACCCACTACGCAGATTGGTGGGTGCTAAACAACTGCAGATGCAGCCGGGACGACATTGGAATCCACAATTTCATCTGTTTTTAAATCCCTACTCATAAATAAGACAGTCTGTCTGTCCGTTACGTCTTCACGTTTATCCCGTTGAACTCTAATGAAATTTGGGTTAGAGATAAGTTTGGCTTCGGGGAAGGAGATATGATAGTTTTTATCGCATATCCTTCAAAGGGGTGATAAGGGGGTGGAAGTTAGTACAGGAAACCAATTAAACCACGCAGACGAAGTCGTGAGCACCTATTAGTGCGTAAACCAATTTGATTCCTTACCTAACATAAGGTTATTTTTTTTTCAGCCGTTGCAAAGCAATAAGGCAAACCTTTGACTAAATGTACGCATCACTAGAAAAAAAAAACTAGATTCACTTGCTTTAATAAATTAACATACTAAGATTATAAATTACGTGGAATTTATTTTCAATATATTATTGCACCATTACCTACTGTACGGCATCTAATAACATCGGATATCTCAAAAACCATCTTGAATTAAATAGGGTATTTGACAAGTTTTAGAATTAAAACTCTTGTTTTTACACACTTAATAAATCAATCATTTCATTTTCACATTGCCACGAAAAAGTTTCTCTGGACAGTATGACGTCTCACGACTGGTATGTGACGTTACAGGACTCATTAAAACGTCAAACGGTACAGGGTGTATTCCGAAATATACATCACTATACTGGCCAGTGGTAATGACGTCACGAATCCGACGCCATGTTGTACTGGTATGCTACCATATTTTTACCGGGAAAACGAATATGACGTATGACCGAGCGTGCGTGAGATGCATTCGAATTTTATTTCTTTTTTATTTAAAGAACAATAATGGCATCCGAACAAAAAGAATTCTTTTTAATTGATGAGGTGAATAAAAAATCTTCTTTATTCGCACTATTTTTAATATTTCGGAATTGGCCATTTATTTTCGGAACAATTCACCAGTATAGCGTCGATTCATGACGTCATTAGCACTGGCCAGTATACTGGTATATATTACGGAATACACCCACAATGTAATGTCACTTGGACCGGGAGTTTGCTAGCGTGTGACGTCAGTTTAGTCTTCGCATCTTTGTCAATCCCAGGCGATTTAAATGGAATGACAATAGAAAAAAAAACATTTTTATTTCATGATTTTGGTAGGAAAGTTATATATTATTTGTTTTCTGAAAAGAAAAATCATTGCTTATATTCATATGAAATACGGATACCAACAATCGGTACTTTATTTTCCATACTGTCAAATAGTCCATTTGAAATTGTAAGAAATATGGAGGGTACTTGTAACTTCATTTTGGTTTCAAAAACAGGGGGTAGGTCGCGACGACCCGAGGACCGCTTCGCCCAGCTAGCAGTGGCTGCATTCTCTCGAATGGTATCTTATTGCCAACACATAAGGTTCATTATTGCATGCATATTGAGAATTGCGCAAGTTTGTGATGTTTTAATAGCAATATTGTGGGTAGCCTTTAAGATAATTTAACACCGATCGCTACTGATTTTGTCCGACCAAAATATACTCTCAAAAAACTGAATTTGCCAATAGCAATCCTTTTTAATTTTCATACAAAAATTTTGTCAAATTTTGTTGTTTTCTAGTTAAGATAATCTTGCCAGAGTCAGGCTGAATATCCTACTAAAACTCACTTTAAAAGTAAACAAGACCACACACTTTTGTTCTAACAAGCAGCAAGATTACATACACACCTAAGTGTCGCCGCACACGGGCCACACGCCACAGCCACAAATGCCGCCACGAGAAGCTAGAAGCGGCTACTAAAGTGGCTGAAGCGCGCGACAGCGGCCGACTAAGGCAAGGGAGAGAGGGGTCGGAAATCGCGCGAGTGACGTGTAGCGGCGTTTTGTATCGACGCAATAAGTGGCCGGTGCGGGCCACAAGAAGCGAGCAACGACGATTTGTAGCGTGTGGCGACCACCGGCATACCGTGTGTGGCGAGTCCATATAAAATGTATGACAACTACAAGAAATATGCTTGTGGCGGCGTTTTGTGGTTGTGGTCGGTTCTGTGCGATGCTTGAAGAATTGTAAGCAGGCAGTCTCAATTTTTGGAACCTTTGATTGTGTGAAGATATGATTGTCTAATAAGTTCTGTGCGATGCTTGAAGAATTGTAAGCAGGAAGTGGCAATTTTTGGAACTTTGGTCATGTGAAGATATGATTGTGTAATAAGTTCTGTGCGATGCTTGAAGAATTTTAAGCAGGAAGTCTCAATTTTTGGAACATTTGATCGTGTGAAGATATGATTGTGTAATAAGTTCTGAGCAATGCTTGAAGAATTATATGCAGGAAGTCTCAATTTTTGGAACCTTTGATCGTGTGAAAATATGATTGTGAATAAGTTCTGAGCGATGCTTGAAATTCAGGTAGTCTCAATTTTTAGATGCTTTGATCGTATGAAGATATGATTGTGTAATAAGTTCTGAGCGATGCATGAAGAATTGTATGCAGGTAGTCTCAATTTATGGAACACTTTTTAAATTTTGATTATGAATTTTCATTAAGTTTTACTCTTTTCAATTAGAATAATTGACACACCACATTACAAACTAAAAGTGAGTATGAAATAAAAGAAAATGAATTGTATTCCTGTTTAATAATTTAGTTTGTTGATTTAATTAATGTGTTTTTTTGCATGCCGGTTTTTTGAGTTCTGCTTATTGTGTTAAATGAGTTTTTCTTTATCGTATGCATTTTCGCGATGTGTTTTTATAAAAAGTTTTGTGACCACAGGAGTTATCTGTAAGCAAGAGTGGTCCCAGCGGGCTGAGGCGTAGCAGCGAGAGGTCCGACTCAGCTATAGACACAAGCGAGAAACAGCACAGCCACACCAGCGGTAAGTTAGACGCCTCTCACATTCTCATGCTGTCCTGGTACTTTTTCGAAAAATAACACGAGAAAAGCCAATGGCAAAGAAAACGCAAAGATCATTACAGATGGCACTGTGGCCGTTTGGCTTATAACAAGCAACCTGTCACTTAGACTGTATCCTAAACCTATGCTCTTGCAAGGTTTTACCCTGAGTCCCTGACGTTTCAATTTTGTCATAAAATGTATGAAACTTATGTCAAAGGACATGGCTAAGAAACTGCCCTTAACGTGTTTAAATATTTCGCACTAGCCCGTAACTTTACAATATTTTTTTATTGATTATTACGTGTTTATTATTCTCATACGCCTTTCGTGAAATAATCAAATATTTAAAAGTATAAAAATGTACTTAAACTGCAGTAAGGTAATGGCATAGTAGTTCTCATAATTTTCAAGATTGTGACTTTATCAAAAGTTCCTGAGCCTTTATTCATAGAAATTATAAATATTCAGTCATTTACCATTAAATATTACTAAGTACAGTTATTGCAGTTATATGTTTAATATTGTTATTACCAATGCAAAAGAAAAAAAAAGAGCGCGAGGCATTTGAAAACCTCAGGCGGCTAAAAATAACAAAATGAAATCGTAAGCGTTAGCGTTATCCAAAGCATTTCCGTTAGGCCAATGGTCCCCAGTACGCTGGCCAGCGGTAATGACGTCACGATTTTGACGCCATATTGCACTGGTGTGCCGCCATATTATGCTGGTGAGAATACTGTGACGTAATTATTTATTAGCCGGGTATATACGCTCTGCAGTTAGTGAAGTTATTTTTTGTATTATAATAATAATATAATAATAATTTCTTCCCCTTCATTTTGTTAAAAAGCGAGCAGTATCTCATCATCATCGTCACTATCACTAGATGAGTCGAATTGTGCTTCAACAATAAAACGAGATATTGTTGTAATAGCTATCACTTCCATTCTTTTCAAATAATCACAGTTAAACTGATAGGGTAAAATTTGTTTATAATTTTTGGATTTGCCATGAACGTTGCACACAAACACGAGACTGCTTGAATATTTTTATTTGACGACCTCCGTGGCCGAGTGGTTTGTACGCCGGGTTTCATGGTGTCGCCGACTCGAGAGGGTCCTGGGTTCGAATCCCGGTGGGGGCAGATGTTTGTGTGATGAATACGAGCATTTGTACTCCAGTCATGGATGTTTAATATGTATTTCTATATAAATATACTTATATATGTACAATATATGTATTCTATCCGTTACCCTAGCATCCCATAACACAAGCCTTATAGTGCTTACTTTGGGGCTAGGCTTAATTGGTGTGAGTGTTGGAAATATTTATTATTATTATTATTATTATTATATAGCACCAGTTCATGACGACACCGCGCTGATCAGTGTGTTTGGAACGAATCAACAGCATGGCGTCGATTCATGACGTCTTTACCGCTGGCCAGCGTACCGGTGTACATTTCGGAATACACCCCAAGTCTATCGGAACTTGTCGGTTGTCCTGGTGACTTTGACAGCTGTCTCGATTTGTTGTTAAGTGCCATTCGGAAACTGCGCCTCTGGCGGGATAAATTAACAGGTTTCTTCTCCATTTACGGCCAGATTCAATAATCAAAACTCCAGTATAAGATACACCTATTAGAGGTATGTCGACTGGATATATTATTTGAATTTACATGACAATTTAATGCCAATAAATGGAACCACATTATCGTTCAAATACGACAAGAATCTTAATTAAATTAATATATGTGGCGAAAATTGGAACTAACACCACCGTCTTTGTAAACGTCAAATTTTGTATGTCCTTTACGTAGAAAGTGGCGCCCTCCCTGAACTGCCACACACCTTACTAAAGATGCTTGTCGCACTGTACATTTTACTGGTAATTGATTGAAACTGACGGTTGACACATACCTCTCACCATCATATAGTTTCCTGGTACTTTTGGAATAATTTTACGGTACGACAAGAATCTTAATTAAATTAATATGTGTGGCGAAAGTTGGAACTAACACCGTCGTTTTTTAAACGTCAAATTTTGTATGTTCCTTACGTAGAAAGTGGCGCCCTCTCTGAACTGTCACGCACCTTACTAAAGATGCTTGTCGCACTGTACATTTTACTGGTAGTTGATTATTATTATTGAAGCTGACGGTTGACAAATACCTCTCAGCATCATATAGTTTCCTGGTACTTTTGAAATAATTTACGACGACACGAAGAAGTTAAACTTATGTTTGGCTAAAGTTGATGCTGTCACTTTCTTTCCTATGACAGTAGAATGGGACAATACGCGACTTTAAATGTCAGGAAAATAATTTGACATTTCTGAGAATAAATATTAATTAGGCAATGGTAATTTGGTAACCGCTTACTAGATATTTTAGCTAGTTTGCGTTACTAACTCATATGTTCCTGGTACTTTGAGAGACAGAATAAAATTTTGGTCGCCCATCTAATGACAGACTACTTCAACGACCGCAGTAGAACGCGCTAGCCATTTGCGTCATCGAACTCTTACATCGAAGTATGTTTATTAATTAGATTAAAATAACAACTGTTCGAACCCGCACCCTCCACTATCCTCGCGGATGCACTCAGCATTATGCTACCGCGGCCCTAATGGCCGTGTCAAATTCTTTCTAGTATTTCTTAGGCTGCAAGGCAGCGCCATCTCTTCGCATTGTAGGTAACCCGCAATGTCAAATGAATACCTTTACAAGTATTAAACTAACAAAATTAAGCCTAAGAACTACCAGAAAGTATTCGCCACGGCCATTAGGGCCTAAGTAGCATAATGGCCTGTGTATCCGCCCGTATGCGGAGGGTGCAGGCTCAATCTTAAGATTTAGACATCTAGCAGTTAAATGCTAAAAAAAACGAGCGAGCCTTACAGTAGTCGCGTATGATGTGTAACATTTGAAACCTCACCTTAAATTAGTAAAAAAAAGAAATAAAACCTGCTACAAAAGGCAAAAGCCATTTGAACATTATGTTCTAAAATCAAATCAAATAGCGCGGGCTTACGCGGCATCCTGTTACACACTTCCGTCCCATTTCACGAAATCACTCCCACAAATTGCAGGAAAGCGAGCGGAAAGATGTTACACATCAAAACAAGAAGAAGCCATTTGAACATTATGTTCTAAAATCAAATCAAATAGCGCGAGCTTTCGCGCCTTCCTGTTACACACCTCCGTCCCATTTCACGAAATCACTCCCTCAAATTGCAGGAAAGCGAGAGGAAAGATGTTACACGTCAAAAAATATAACTACAAGTCTTTGATTTTTGTTAAAAAATATTTTTTCAGGGTTGAACGGGCTTCGCAACATCGGCAACACGTGTTTCATGAACTCCGTACTTCAGTGTATGTCCAACACGCGGCCTCTCCTAGAATACGTCTCCGAGGACAAGTGGGAGATCAACACTGCGCTGTCGACTATGAAAGGCGCCCTTATCAAGGGTGAGTGAACCTTAACACCATTGCTTTAGAGTTGCATTTGCGTTATATGATAAGCGAGCAGTAAAAGACCTCCTTACTAATTATGCTTTCCTGGTACTTGGTGTACTCGAACTAGCGATATAAAACTTCTTTAAAGATTATTATGATACCCTAGTACTTATTTGTGTTAATGTTGCTGCAGAAAAAAATAATTATTGAGTGTACCTTAACACCATTACTTTAGAGTTGCATTTGCGTTATATGATAAGCGAGCAGTAAAAGACCTCCTTACTAATCGTGCTCTCCTGGTACTTGGTGTATTCGAACTAGCGAATTTAAAACCTCTTTAAAGATTATGATACCCTAGTACTTATTTGTGTTAATGTTGCTGCAGAAAAAAATAATTATTGAGTGCACCTTAACACCATTGCTTTAGAGTTGCATTTGCGAGGATAACCTCATTTAAGAGGTTATATGATAAGCGAGCAGTAAAAGACCTTACTTATCGTGCTTTCCTGGTACTTGATGTATTCGAACTAAATAACTTCTTTAAAGATTATGATACCCTAGTACTTATTTGTAATTAACGTTGCTGTAGAAAAAAAAAATGGTTGCCTGTAAAGTCGGTTTTACGGGCGAAGATTTTACGTGACAACGTCTTTTTCTCGGTAGAATATTTATTGATATGAATATAATTAAATTGCACAATAGGAACAAGGAATTGAATGAAAATAAGAATTGCACAAATTTTAACTATAGAAATATATTTTGTTTACTAAAACATTGTACATGTAAACTTAAACTTAACACGAGAGACTCATCGTAACGTTACCGAGCGTTACACTTTTTCATAAGTGACTCCCAGCCGCAACCTAATTTAAGACGTTGTCACGTCAAAAAACGAGCGAGCCTTACGGTAGTCGCGATTGATGTGTAACGTTTGAAACCTCACCTTATATTAGTAAAAAAATGGATGCGTGTAACTTATGTACGCGCGTGAGAAGTTATACTTCTTTAGCATCATTAAAAATATTTTTTAATTGCATGCAAATAATTAATAATTACAATAAAATAATAAAAGGACTGGAAAAGGATAGTTAACACAGTCAATTAAGTTCAGTTTTAATTTGAAAAATTAAATAAATATTCAAAATATTCAATTAAAATCACTACTGAATTTAAGTTATTAGTCCATATGTTATTAGCACTTGTAAGTAACTAAAACACGTTGTGTCTATATAGAAACTAGAAACATGTGGATAAATATTATAAATATGAAAACAGTGATCAGAGGCGACGAGCGTGCCAACATTGTTTTTGACAACGCGATCATCTTATGGAGCTCCGTGGATCGTTCAAAGTACCTTTCGAACAGATGTCTAATAACGCGCCCGCGGCCAACTTCATGGTGTTACTATTGTGTTACAGTGATGCGCGCGCATCTCGAAATTTCACTCACATGATTTTTTCATAACGCGCCTAAAGAAGTATAACTTCAAAAAGAAATGAAACTTACTACAAAAGCAATAAGCCTTTTGAACATTATGTTCTAAAATCAAATCAAATAGCGCGCGCTTTTGCGACTTCCTGTTACACAGTTCCGTCCCATTTCACGGAATCACTCCCACAAATTGCAGGAAAGCGAGAGAAAAAATGTTACTTACACATCAAATAAATTGAGTGCACGTTAACACAATCATTGCTTTAGAGCTGCATTCGCCTCATATGATAAGCGAGCGGTAAAAGACCTCCTTACTAATCATGCTCTCCTGGTACTTGATGATTTCGAACTAGCGAATTTAAAACCTCTTTAAAGATTATGATACCCTAGTACTTATTTGTGTTAATGTTGCTGTAGAAAAATAGAAAATAATTGAGTGCACCTTAACACCATTTGTTTTAGAGCTGCATTCTGGTGATATGATAAGCGAGCGTTAAAAGACCTCCTTACTAATCGTGCTGTCCTGGTACTTAATGTATTCGAACGCTTCTTTAAATATTATGATACATAAAAATCAGTACACATTTGACAATGACATTTCGAACTCGCAAACGTCACGAATTCGATTTTCGTTCGTGCTAAGGGTACAGGAATGGAGTTTCAGCAACATTTCATTTCATGGAGCAACCGAATTTTTAACTTTTCAAGACCGCGATCGATTTTAAATTTTAAAGGACGGATAGATGTTAACAATTAGAGAGAAAGAGAATAAGCACGCTATATACATAAATTCAATATCGTTTATTCAGTCTAGGCAAACAAACAAGCACTTGTAAATGTCGAAAAGCTACGCCATCGGTTCGCAAATCTACGGTGGGAGACCTTGTACTGAGAAGAACCGGCAAGAAACTCAGCAAGGGCTGTTTTTTTCTCCCTGTATTATTTTTATACAGAGTCGTCAAATTGAAAAATGACTTCAATATGAGGTAACTCATAAAGTCACTTTCCATTAAAAATGCAAATAATATAAAAATTATGACAATAAAATAAAAAACTGGTTTAACAAAGCTTGGGAATACCGTGTCCTAGTTTAGGCAAAAAAATAAGATTAAAAGTTTAGTACTAGTGTTGAGTAGGACTTACAAGAGGCGGTACATTTGTCCCGGACATGACGTCAAAATGTAAGAGCGGCTCAAAATTTTGAAATGTACTACTTCATATTAAATGTCGCGATAGTCGCGTCTCGTTACTCACTCACTCTTCGTAAGTCTGAGAGAGAGCAAGGCATGACATTTCATTTAAGTCCTCTACGCACTATCCATCTGTATCCCTATCTCTTTTGCGTGTATAGAGCGCTGTCCTGCATGCTGGATCCAGCAAGATTGATAGTGCGTAGAGGAGGTGCTACTCGTGCACACAAACGTAATGTCGAGCTTCTGTACGCCTCAATGTCATATTTGTACTCGTCACTTCAAATGTATTGCCGAGCTTCAGTACGCCTTGCCTCTTTTGAAGTGGGACATTGTACTGGCTCAGTAGAAAAAAGAGGCTACTCTTACAAACTCTTTTTCAAGTCGTGTCCTACCCAACACTATTAGTACAACGATTAATAGTAAGTACCCAATGAAGCAAATAAAAGAAATATTTGAATGTTTCTCTTTGTACAACAGTTGCATGAATAACTATAATTACACGCCATCTTAAGCTAAGCTAGCTAGACTGACGTGATCAAAAATACGAGATAATAAATTTTTGGTCACCACTCGTTCAAAACTTTGTACGTATATATCAAGGCCGTTACACCAAACCATACCGCGATGCAGATGTATGAACAGCGCCATCTGTTAAAATACTTGCACACCACTTACGCATATGTCCGTGCCTATTCTAACGTAATATCGTATTACTTTTTTTTAAATTTACGTTTTTTAATTATTGTAATATATAATATATTTTTTTATAATTATTATTATTAAAGTTGGTTTCACTTTTGACTTGCGTACATGCGTACACACGCTGTTTTTCTCTCTACAAACGGCTGAGCTGTATTGTTGTCCTATTCTTGGTAACAAATAGCTAATAAGTAAATAATATTACATATTTAACCGTGATTTTTGAGAAAAAATAATGTTTTTCTTTTAGATTTACGAATGGAAAGTGTTGCCGTGGAATTTGTCATTTGATCTTAAACTATCTGTGTTCTTTATATGAGCATCGGAGACATCTATTTTTTTTTTAAAACACAATATATGCAATATTGTTATATTGAGTGCACATGCAGCGCGAATGAATGTCCAATTGAACCACTAAAAACAGGGGGAAGAAGGCCCTTGCTGAGTTTCTTGCCGGTTCTTCTCAGTACAAGGTCTCCCGCCGTAAATTTACGAACCGATGGCGTAGTTTCTAGACATTCATGAGTGCTTGTAACAGCCTAAACTGAATAAATGATTTTGATTATGACTATTTAACTTCCATGATTTGAGTACAAATGCTCGTATTCATCACACAAACGTCTGCCCCCATCGGGATTCGAACCAGGCGTATAAACCTGAATGAATATCATTGATACGACAATAATATACGGTAAATTATATTAAAAAATAAATAAAAAAAAATATCTAGTCTCTCACATACATAAAAAACACACACGCACATACTGCTATATTATATAATTATATTGAAAATTAGCTACTAATGTAAGGAAATTAAGTCCTTTAAATGGTTTATTGTTTAATACTTTAAATAGTTAATGTATGATGCCTTCCCCCCTGGCATGAGGACCGCGATATAATATGTGACGCGTGTTTTGACGCGCTCAAGTGTCAAATTCTTTGGAGTTTGACAGCTGGACGCGATATGACACGTGATACAATGAGAATTGTGGTGCTCATGCTACGGAGGCGGGATAAATTAGAACTTGTCTATTTTTCTTTCGAAAGTAATTTTAATGTCAATAATTGTCATAGTAAAGTTCAATGTAAAAATTGACGAAAGAGCGAGTATCCCCTAATACAAGTACAATACTTAAAAGGGAATACTCAACAACATGTTTATATGGAACTTGTAAGCATTGAAGAATTTTTTCATTTTTCATTTTCATTTTTCATTTCATGGTTTATACGCCGCAACGGAGGCGGTCGTGGACAATAAGAAAGATATACTTAATGATATGTGCTTTCCGTTGTTGTAGCGTTTGCGAGCGTCATTAAGGAGCTATGGCGGAGTGGTGAGAAAGACGCCGTTGTCAACACTACCTCGCTGAAGTCCCAGGTTCAGAGGTTCGCGCCTAGATTCATGGGGTACAGTCAGCAAGATGCGCAGGTGAGAACTGTACACTTAATTTATTGCAAAGTTGTAGTTTCAAAGTGTAAATCTAAGAATTCGAAAGAAAGGCATCGCGATACCTCTAGTCCACTTGCAGCAAATTTGTTAAATCTCGATTTAACTAAAACCAGGTTTAACCCACTGAAGAATGTCAAAATATCAATGTCAATTTGTAATTATTGTATGTGCTTAATATAGTTTTAGTTTTTTTTTATATTTCCGACACACCAATTAGCCTAGCCCCAAAGTAAACTAGGTTAACGGATAGAATACATTACTGTAGGTATATAAGTATATTTATATAGAAATACATATTAAACATCCATGACTGGAGTACAAATGCTCGTATTCATCACACAAACATCTGCCCCCACCGGGATCTCTCTCTCTTAACTAAGGAATCATCATCATCATCAGCCTATTAATGTCCCCACTGCTGGGGCACAGGCCTTCCCTACGGATGGAATAGGGAGATTGGGCCATGACCCACCACGCGGGCCCAGTGCGGATTGGCGGGTGCTAACGACTGCAGATGCAGCCGGGACCAACGACTTAACGTGCCTGCCGAAGCACGGAGGAGTGAGAGATAGTAAATTTTTGGTCACCCATCCAATGACCGACCACTGCGAAAGTTGCTTAACTTCGCGCGCTAACCACTTGCGCGAACGAGTTCCTCGTACTAAAGAATAGTATTTATCTTTAATTATAAGATTTTTTGACTTTTGACGACTTAATTGGAAATATAAATATTTTTTTGTTAGGAATTCCTGAGGTACTTACTGGAGGGTCTGCACGAAGACGTGAACCGAGTCACGGTCAAACCGAAGCCAATTCTCACAGAAATAGATGATAACTTAAGGTAAATAATTTTTATGGGAATATCACAGGAGTCTTATATAATAATTAATATATAAATACTAGCTGACCCAGCGAACTTCATACCGCCATAAAAAAATAGGGGTTGGTGGTAGAAAGTCTAAAATATAGGGATGTATGTATTTTTGTATGATGTATCATAAAAAAAATAAAAAACAAAATTTATCTAAAATTGAAAAAAAAAATTAGGGGTGGATTACCCTTAACATTTAGGGGGATGAAAAATAGATGTTGTCCGATTCTCAGACCTACCCAATATGCACACAAAATTTCATGAGAATCGGGAAAGCCGTTTCGGAGGAGTTTAACCACAAACTCCGCGACACTAGAATCTCTTATCTAGTAGACAAGTCCGTCCGTCTGTCTGTGGTGCTGTTTCCGCGGCCGAACTGTAAGAGATAGATAAACAGAATATTTAAGTTATAAGTTAAGAATAGTCTGATAAGACTACAAACCGGATTTGAGTAACGTAGCACTTCCGGTTTTCGAGAAATCAGGTTTTGGTGAACATTTGGTTCACCGGTTTGCTAGTTTTATATATTAGATATATAATATAATGTATTTTTCTTTCCTTCCCTGGTCCAGCGATACAGCCAAGGCTGCCGAAGCGTGGTCTCGCTACCTGCGGGCTGAGGATAGCCGCGTGAGTGACATATTCGTGGGACAGCTCAAGTCGACACTCCGGTGCACGCATTGTAGGCACGACAGTGTCACTTTCGACCCATTCTGGGACCTTAGGTGAGTGGCAACACTTAATGTTAACTATTTGATTTGGATTTTAGATAATGTACGACAATAGGTTTTGTTTCGCAGCGGTCGGTCATTGGATGGGTGGCCAAAAATTACTATCTGGAGTTCCTCCGCGCTTCGGAAGGCACGTTAAGCCGTTGGTCCCGGCTGCATCTGCAGTCGTTAGCACCCGCCAATCCGCACTGGGCCCGCGTGGTGGGTCATGGCCCAATCTCCCTATCACATCCATAGGGAAGGCCTGTGCCCCAGCAGTGGGGACATTAATAGGCTGATGATAATGATGATGATGTTTTTTTTATTTATTTTTTCCCAACACACCAATTAGCCTAGCTCCAAAGTAAGCACTGTAAGGCTTGTGTTATGAGACACGATAGAATACATATATAGTACATAAATATATATATAGAAATACATATTAAATATCCATGACTGGAGCACAAATGCTCGTATTCATCACACAAACATCTGCCCCCACCGGGATTCGAACCCGGGACCTCTCGAGTCGGCGACACCATGAAACCCGGCGTACAAACCACTCGGCCACAGAGGTCGTCACAATAATTTTAATTTTTTATAAATCAATAATAATAACAAGAAATAAAAACATTAGTTCCACCTCTTCGCACGACGGTATTGGGTTCAAGTTCGTATGTCCCTAGAGTAAGTAGACTTCTAAATTCTTGGGATAAGTCCATTGAAATTAATGCTGTTAGTCTCAATACATTTCGATTAGAGATGATGACTAATTTTTTTTCTTCGTTCATCAGGTAGATTATCAAAAAGTATTGGACACGTATTTTTTCTTTTTTCACATAATATAAACATTGCAGAGATATATTGATTTGAAAAGTCGCATGACGTCACGTTTTGGTACAATTTTCACTTAAAAGTGACGTCACGAGCCCCTACTCCTAAACTTTGAAGCGCTATAACTTTGTCATTTTTCGGTTGATTGCCCAAAGAAAAAATACGTGTCCATTATATTTTGATCATGTAACTGACGGACTAAATAGAATTTCGTTTACTGTACCCCGTTATCACCCCTATTGACCACATTGTAGTATATTGATATTATGTAACTTGAGAGAAGAACTACAGAATTTTGTATATGTGATTAATTTTAATGTTACTGGTAATTATTTACATTGCATGTGGTGTTTACCTTATATAAATTGTGCTTCTAGCTTTAGTACTATCGCTATAATATTTACAATGTATTATTGTAATAATTGCCGGTAAACCTATTAAATAAATAACAGTTAATGGTGTCGATTCTGGCAGCATTCTCTAAACTTAAAGCTAAATTTAATATCAGTCTGTCCTTTTTATTCTATATAGAGAATGACAAGGATACACTGTTGTCAAATTTAAGTTTAGCTTTAGAGAATCATGCCAGAATCGACACCAATGTATTAATTAGTCCAGGCAACGAATGCTCAAAAACAGGTATATAGGGAAATGCTTGGAACAAAATTTTTGATTTCGTAACTTTGTTAGAACTAGTTAGGAGGTAAACATATCAAAAGTCCCCGCCCGTAGCCCTTAAGCTGGGGGGAAGGGGGGGGGGGGGGGGGTTGAAGGTCCCATTTTTAGGTTTTTCGCATATATCTCGGAAACTATGCATCCTAGCGACATGAGACTGCGACAAAAGTGAAAGCTGATTAAATTTGCTACAAGTCTTATTCAGTCAAGTTTTTTGATATCTTGTACAGTTTTCGAGATATCCGCTCTTGAAATTCTGTAATTATGGAAAAAAAAAATTGCCACCACTTCCTGGGAATGCTGTTTTACTGCTCCCTCGGTGGCAGGAAGACAAGAGATATCAGGCTTGATGGTGGCCACGGATTTCAAGAATGACTTGTACCTGTAGGCATTGAGGGAAATCTCTTTCGCTGGAGCTCCATACCACCTTAAGATGCAGGTTTCACCTGCCTTTTGTACTTGAGCGGTGGTGGAGAAAGGGTGTGAAAAGACCGCTGCTGACTTGATAATGTCTCTGGTCTCTGGGAAGGGAGGAAATTTCTCAATCCAATCGGTGAGCTTGGCAATGTCAGCTCCATCCTTGTTTTGGCGGGCTTGTCCGAAATCTGCATGCTGCTCACTGGTGGAACCAACAACCCTACGGCCGGCATTGTAGAAGAGTTATCCGGTCAGATAGAGCAAAAATGGGAAGCAAATTTTTTTTCCATAATTACAGACTTTTAAGAGCGGATATCTCGAAAACTATACAAGATATCAAAAAACTTGACTGAATAAGACTTATAGCAAATTTAATCAGCTTTCACTTCTGTCAAAGTTTCATGTCGCTAAGATGCATAGTTTCCTAGATATATGAAAAAAACCTAAAAATGGGACCCTCAATCCCCCCCCCCCCCCCCCGCGGGGACTTTTGATATGTTTACCTCCTAACTAGTCCTAACAAAGTTACGAAGTCAAAAATTGTGTTCTAAGCATTTCCCTCTATACTTTTTCGTTGCCTGGACTATATCGTGTATGAGTCTTTGTTACTTGAAATAAATGAATGAATTTAGGATTTTCGATATCGACGTCGGTATCCACCCATTTAACGTATCGATGTTTTGGTGTCGATTCTGGCGTGATTCTCTAAACTTAAAAGTAAATTTAACTTCAGTCTCTCCTTTTCATTCTGCATAGAGGATGACAAGGATACACTGTTGTCAAATTTAATTTTAGGTTTTGAAAATCATGCTTGAATCGACACCAAATCGTTATCCAAAAACTTTTTGTTACACAATTATTTCACCATTAGTCTATTAATTTTCCCACTGCTGGGACACAGGCCTCCCCTATGGATGGAATAGGGAGATTGGGCCATGACCCACCACGCGGGCCCAGTGCGGATTGGCGGGTGCTAACGACTGCAGATGCAGCCGGGACCGACGGCTTAACGTGCCTTCCGAAGCACGGAGGACTGAGAAATAGTTAATTTTTGGTCACCCATCCAATGACCGACTACTGCGAAAGTAGCTTAACTTCAACGATCGCAGCCGAACGCGCTAACCGCATGCGTCATCGAGCTTCTCGCATAAACTTTTACTTGCGTATGCTATAAACACAAGTCTGTCTGTCCGTCCAGTTTGCCGATCCCGTCGCGCACGGGCAGCCTCAAGCTGCAACAATGTCTGCAACACTTCACCAAGGAGGAGGAGCTCGACGGAGACGAGAAACCGGTGAGACTACACTACACTATGGCAACATTACAACTACATTACAACTAGACTACACTATGACTATATTACAAGTGCACTACACTATAACTATATTACAAGTGCACTACACTATGACTACAACTACATTACAAGTGCACTACACTACGACTACAACTACATTACAAGCGCACTACACTATGACTACAACTACGTTACAAGTGCACTACACTATGACTACAACTACATTACAAGTGCACTACGCTATGACTACAACTACATTACAAGTGCACTACGCTATGATTACAACTACATTACAAGTGCACAACACTATGACTACAACTACATTACAAGTTAACTATACTTTGACTACAACTACATTACATGTGCACTACACTATGTCAACACTACAAGTACACTAGACTATGACAATAACTACACAAATCAACATGGACCATTTACGCAAACTGCAAGTTTTGTCAGTTAATTTTATATTATTGTTATCAAATGGCGAATGCACCGTCAGGCCCGCGATAGCATAATGGTTAGTGTATCCGCCCGGATAGCGAAGGGTGCGGGTTCGAGTCCCGTCTGCTGCTAGTAATTTATCTATCTATATATATAAAACTCAAAGGTGACTGACTGACATAGTGATCTATCAACGCACATCCCAAACCACTGAACGGATCGGGCTGAAATTTGGCATGCAAGTAAATGTTATGACGTAGGCATCCGCTAAGAAAGGATTTTGATCAATTCTACCCCCAAGGGGATAAAATAGGGAATGAAAGTTTGTATGAAACTTTGTCAATTTTAAACCGATCGGGCTGAGACTTTGCATGCAGGTATAAGAAGAATCATAGAAGAATGTCATTGTGTATAATACAAGACTGAGAACAAAAACTGTAGTCTACACCTCAGCTCTACACCGAAGCGAAGCGAGGGCGGGCCGCTAGTATTTATATATAATCATTTATTGACAGTTGGCATGCTCCTTTATCTATTATTTGTTACTAAAGCATCAAATGTATTCTTTTCAATGGTTATCAAAAGCAGTGATAATGATTGTGTTCATTTTTAACTGCGGTTGTTAACGCTAAATTGTTATATTGTATACTTCTACGCGTGCCAGGCAGCAGGCGGGACTCGAACCCGCACCGTTCGCTATCTGGGTGAATGCACTGACCATTATGCTACCGCGGCCCTGACGGCCGTGTCGAATTTTCTCCAGCCTTAAGCTGCAAGGTAGCGCCATCTCTTCGCATTGTAGGCAACCCACAATGTCAAATGAATTCCCTTACAAGTATTAAATATTTAGAAGAAGAAGAAGCAATTATTTTTTAAGCATGTAACTGCTCGGCGTGTAAATCGGAAGAAATGAAAAATGTAACTAAAATTATTAGAAATTCTTCTAGCCATTCTTGAGCTGCAAGGCAGCGCCATCTCTTCGCATTATAAGTAACCCACAATGTCAAATGAATACTTTTACAAGTATTAAACATTGGAAAGAAGAAATATCAATTATAGTTATAATTTTTATGTTTTTAAGCATAGAACTGCTTGATGTTTAAATCTAAAGAAATCGCATAGTGGTGCGGGTTCGAGTCCCGTCTGCTGCCTGCTCCGCGTGGAATTTTGTTCTAGTTATATTTTATTTAGATTTAAACATCAAGCAGTTCCATGCTTAAAAAAATAAAAATTATAAATGGAAAATGATTTTTAGTTCTCGTTACGTCCGTTGTGGCGCTGCTGTTCAAGTTTCAAATTTTGACAATGACATTTCGGACTCGCAAATTATTCGAACTCGATATTGGTTCGTGCTAGGGGTGCAGTGTGCCCTTTTTATTTCTTATAAAACATGATAAGAACACAGAATATAGTCGAATTCACAAGTGGCAAACGCAAATATCGAACAACAAGTAGCAAATACGAAGTGCCGGTGTGACGCTTTGATGCGAATATTATATTATGTGTAGTCTATGTGTTGTATAATATGTATATACTATCGGCCCGCCCTCGCTTCGCTTCGGTGTACCGCTGAAGTGTAGACTACAGTTTTTGTTCTCAGGCTTGTATTATACACAATGACATTCATCTATGATTCTTCTTATACCTGCATGCAAAGTCTCAGCCCGATCGGTTTAAAATTGACAAAGTTTCATACAAACTTTCATTCCCTATTTTATCCCCTTGGGGGTAGAATTGATCAAAATCCTTTCTTAGCGGATGCCTACGTCATAACATCTTACTGCATGCCAAATTTCAGCCCGATCCGTCCAGTGATTTGGGATTTGGGTGCGTTGATAGATCACTATGCCAGTCAGTCAGTCACCTTTGAGTTTTATATATATAGATGTATATTTAATTCATAAATTCATTTACTTACCTTGTTTCTTTTACCGACACCGCTGACTCTAGCTTTCTTTAAATCCTCTCCATCGAAAGGAAAGAAATCGCTTTTAGCGATAAAACCGCCCTCTTTTTTTTTACAATTGTAATTTTACCCTCATTTCTGTTCTGTGTAGTGGTGTTTTCAATAAAGTATTGTGTATTGTATTGTATTGTATTATTGGTATTCATTGATCGTATTGTTCACAGACTTGTTCTAAATGCGGTGTGCGCCGCAAGTGCCTCAAATGGTTCACTGTACAGAAGTTCCCACAAGTGCTAGTCATACATCTCAAAAGGTCAGTATTAAAGATAAATAAATATTTCCAACAATCACACCAAGTAGCTTAGCCCCAAAGTAAGCACTGTAAGGCTTGTGTTATGGGATACTAGGATAACGGATAGAATACATATACTGTACATATGTAAGTATATTTTTATATAGAAATGCATATTAAACATCCATGACTGGAGTACAAATGCTCGTGTTCATCACACAAACATTTGCCTCCACCGGGATTCGAACCCGGGACCTCTCGAGTCGGCGACACCATGATACCCCACTCGACCACGGAGGTCATCAAAACTCAAATTGCCACCGTTGAGACTCCGAAAGGTTCTTGGTTCATTTGTGGGTCAAGGTATATGTTACTATAATAAAATACCAAAAGAAATGATCAATTTACCTTTTAATAAGTTTAAAGTGTCTATAAAAACATGTCTCCTTAAGAAAGGTTACTATACTGTTAAAGATTTCATAAATGATAAGTCACCTTGGGCTTAATATAATAAACTAAGTCGTTTTACTTTGCTGATTTGGTTGAAAATTGTTTAATCGTCACTTCTATATTTAAAAATAGTACCTAGCTATACTTTACTTATTGTTAATTAACAATATTAATGTGATGGAAGTTGACATCAACACATGTTTTAAATTTTTGATGTCATTATTCAATTGACGACTCTGTATGAAACAAAACAGGGAGAAAAAAATAGCCCTTGCTGAGTTTAGAGGTGGCGTAAATAGTTCAAAAGATGTATTAATTACAAGTTAATAGTTGAATAGCAATATCAGATAATCTTAATGGTTCAAAATATCAGTAAATGCTTTCATTCCAGTAGAGTATATGAATATTTTTCACAAGTTGATTTATTGACAATATTTTTATTAGTTAGGTCTGTGAAAGAAATATAAGCAAGGGAAAGCAGTGCGCCCGCATATTTTCTTTCTCTCTTTCTCTTATAGCTAGTAAATGAAATATGTATATGTACATACATTCACGCATCGCATCGAATCGCATTTATATCGCACGTCGCAAACAATAGGGTATTAAGTCGGCAAAACCATTTATTTATTTATTTGCGTTTCGAAAACTACATTTTTTTCTCTATAAACTGGTAAGATAATCTCTTATCTATTAGACAAGTCCGTCCGTCTGTTTGTGGTGCTGTTTCAGCGGCCAAACCGTAAGAGATAGATAAAGAGAATATTTAAGTTATAAGTTAAGAATAGTCTGATAAGACTACAAACCGGATTTGAGTAACGTAGCACTTCCGGTTTTCGAGAAATCAGGTTTTGGTGAACATTTGGTTCACTGGTTTGCTAGTTGTATTTTAATTCGAAATAGTTTTTGAATTATAGCAACACATCATGTCGTCAATTTCTAGGCAAAAATTATGATTGTGAGTATTCTAAACAGTATTAAGTTGAGTTAACCCTATTGCCCGTTCGGATTAATACAAGTTTGAAGTTTTATTTAAAATTATACCCTATGGCCTGTTCAATTTTAATTAATATTTTATTTTCAGCGAAATTATTTTAAATTGATACTAGTTTTAATTTTATTTTAACATGAGCCATTTGAACTGCTTATAGGGTATTCTCTTTACCCAGTCACATAAAAGTACTTTTAAAATCAAATCTACTATTGATACACTAACTAAACTTACTCAACACAAAGAAGGATAATGTACGTTTAAATCAAGGTATAATTTTAAACATTTGATCAAATAGTTCCGCTTCTATGATTTTTTAAAACTTCTAAACGCGATATCTCAAAACACTGTTTTTGAAGATAATATCCTTTTGTTTGTGACGTGCGATATATATATATATATATATACTAGCTGACCCGGCGAACTTCGTACCGCCTTAGCGTAGCTTTGATGCACTACTTTATTTTGCATAGCTGACCTATCTTATGTATGAGTACCTATTCAATTTGAACCGTCATTTTGTCAGCGCGGTTATCGATGTGGTGTCACAGATTACCACAGATTATTTGTTTTAAATTGAATGACGTTGACATTCGTTACGTTATATTTTTCAATCTTTCTGAGAGATTTTCTTTATATTTTTTTCCGTAAGAACCTTGTACAGAGTATTAGAAAACTAGAAAAAAAAATCAGCCAAATCGGTCAAGCCGTTTTCATGTTATGTCGTGACATCGGAAAACGGGTTTCATTTTTATATATATAGATATGTATACAGATGGAGTTAAAGAAGTTTTACTTCAGTCGTGTGGTCATAAGCACACTGTTTTTTTTTTGTTTTTTTATTGAATCCCATTTCGCTCAGGTTCTCCCCCACGGAACGTTTTCGTGGCAAACTGAACGTGTTGGTGGAGTTCCCTCTCACCGGACTGGACATGTCTCCATACGCGGCCACTTCGGGGGGAAACAACTCCCCCGCGCCGGTCTACAATCTGTACGCTGTGAGCAACCATTCCGGTGAGTCACTTTATATTTAACTAGTGGCCCGCCCTCGCTTCGGTGTAGAGCTATAGTGTAGACTATAGTTTTTGTTCTCAGGCTTGTATTATACACAACTAGCAAACCAGTGAACCAAATGTTCACCAAAAAAAAAAAAACTATTTAATTAATTGAGAACTTCGGAGATTTTGTGTGGTTTCGTTTGAAATAGAAATCACGTGATTTCTCGAAAACCGGAAGTGCTACGTTACTCACATCCGGTTTGTAGTCTTATCAGACTATTCTTAACTTATAACTTAAACATTCTCTATATCTATCTCTTACGGTTTGGCCGCTGAAACAGCACCACGGACGGACTTGTCTAATAGATAAGAGATGACTTTCTTTAAATACCTATTTACTATACGCTCTTTGTATATTACCGTGGAACCGCCATGTCCCTGCATTTTAAATCTGTAATATTTTCGAAAATATTCATTTAAATTACATGCTGTAAAGGGCCATATTGATCTATATTACATGCACAATGTATTTAAGGTACTTAATTGGATAAGGATGAATTTAATATTGCTGGAAATCGCTTCGTAAATAAGCTATTATTTCTCGTAAAAAGGATAAAAAATTGGTTATTGTGGGTTATCCCTAAGAGATAGGCATATACCATCGCGGACTTTTTTGTAGACCTTTTTAAGGTGTACAATACTGTAGTACATTATTTGGATCTATCTCGTAGGGTTCAGCCAGCGATTGCAATATAATCATGACCCACCACGCGGGCCCAGTGCGGATTGGCGGGTGCTAACGACTGCAGATGCAGCCGGGACCAACGGCTTTACGTGCCTTCCGAAGCGCGGAGGAATGAGAGATAGTAAAAAATTTTGGTCACCCATCCAATGACGGACCACTACGAAAGTTGCTTAACTTCAACGATCGCAGCCAGCGTTTACCACTTGCGCCATTGAGCTCCTCGTCGTTAGAACTGAAATCAACTATATATATATTAATAGGCTATATTACAGTATGAAAAATAAAGTACCAATTGTTGGCATCTGTATTTAATATGAATATTAGCAGCGATTTTACTATGCGGGAAGAACAAATAATTAATAACATTTCTAAAAAATCATTAAACAGAAACGATTATTTTGTTCTATGGTCGCGTAACCGAAAACGCCCCGTGCGTTTTGGCCGAAAGCTACAGTGACGTCAGACGCTAGTAAACATCCGGTCAAAGTAGCATGTCATTGTATCGTTTGACGTCCCTCCATCCCTTTTTATAATAATAATAATAAAAGCATTTATTTCAGACACGAGATCCATTTATCAAAATAAAAAAAAAAACAATACAACAATTACATTAAAATAAATAATAATAGCATAAAACAATACATTTAAAAAACACATATGACAACTTAAATTGAAATTGAACAATGAATTAAAAATAATAAAATATTTTCAAACATTCATTCAAATTGTGTTCATTAATTAATTTAAATTCTCAATTTATCTGAAATTGTAATTTGTACCCAACGTTTATACATATTGATCGTCATGAATCTCTCCGCCAGACTAGTGATAATTTTGTTATCACATTTGCAAACTCGAGACATAAAAGAAACTACCCGTTTCCTTTGAATGGAATTAAACAAGTCGACGCGTGTTTGTGTAAACATTGCAGAGGCACTACAATACTGCGTATAACCCATTAATTACCTATAGTTAATGAAATTATGGAATCCATATCCACCATATCCAATCTGTTTTAATGACAGAATAATGAATATCCACCCATCCCTTTTGATTTACTCCATAAACATTAGTAAATAACTTGAGATCGTTTTCCAAAACTTGTCAAAGTAAATATATTTATATGTTATATTCACAGGCACGACATACTCCGGCCACTACACGGCGTACTGCAAGCACCCGTACACAGGAGATTGGCACGAATATAACGACTCCAGGTAACGAAACTACCCTCAATTTACTGCATTCAATTTATTACAAAATACCTCCGTTTGACTGCATTCGATTCATTACAAAATATCTCCATTTTATTGCATTCAATTCATTACATAATACCTCCAATTTACTGCATTCAATTCGTTACATAATACCCCCAATTTACTGCAATCAATTCGTTACATAATACCCCCATTTTATTGCATTCAATTCATTACATAATACCCCCTTTTACTGAATTCAGTTCATTACATAATACCCCCATTTACTGAATTCAGTTCATTACATAATACCCTCATTTTACTGCATTTAGTTTATTACATAATACCCTCATTGTACAATTTCACTACACTCAATTCATTACAAAATACCTCCATTTTACTGAATTCAATTCATCACATTATACCCTCAATTTACTGAATTTAATTCATTACAGAATACCCTCATTTTCCTGCATTCAAATAATTGCAAAATACCTCCAACTTACTGCATTCAATTAATTGCAAAATACCTCCACTTTACTGCATTCAAATCATTACTTAATACCCTCATTTTAATGCATTCAATTTATTACACAATATCCTCATTTTAATGCATCTAATTTATATCATAATACCCCCATTTTACTTCATTTAATTCATTACAAAATATCCTGAATTCACTGCATTGAATTCATTACAGAATATCCCCAATTCACTGCATTGAATTCATTACAAAATACCCTCATTTTACTGCATCCAATTCATTACAAAGTACCCCCATTTTACTGCATTCAAATCATAAAAATACTCCCATTTACTGAATTCAATTCATTACAAAATACCCTCATTTCACAGCATTCAATTCATTACATAATACCCTCATTTTACTGCATTCGATTAATTACAAAATACCTCCATTTCACTACACTCAATTCATTACCCAATACCTCCATTTTACTGAATTCAATTCATCACATTATACTCTCAATTTACTGAATTTAATTCATTATAAAATACCCTCATTTTTTTACTGCATTCAATTAATTACCAAGTCTCATAGTCACTAACTTTATACTGCCATAAAGATTTCATCACACGCTTTCATGGTCACTGTTGACGAAATTAAGCCTATGTGCCAACGAATTAGAAATGTTATAGAACTGCTCAAAAAAATGGTTCCACGCAGACTGCGATCAAATGGGCGTGACGAAAAAAATGCGATCAACAAGCCGATCACGGGATTGGTTGGGTTTTCCGTTTAACAATTTCTAACCCGATGAATGGTTAGCCGAATTCATTTGCAGATATTTGATTTGTCAAAATGTTTTGTTTTGTGTTAGTATTGAAGTTTAGTTGAATGAATATGGAACCATGTTTTAGCAGCTTTTGTTAGAGAGTACGCTGCCATATCATTTCTTATTCGTTGCATTGTACTCTTTTTCTTTATTCATTTTGTTAGCTGTGATAAAACATTTAAATAAATAAAACAAATCTACTTACAACCACGATATTAAATGCCCTAGATACAACAACACCAACAAAATCGTGGCTAAAACCTGTCCAAAAGGTACATTGGATGTTCCACGGAGCTCCGACAGATAATCGCGTAGTCAAAAACAATATAAGGCATTATTTAAACATTGAAACTCACCTTTAATGCATACTGTATAAGGTCTTAATTAAAACGCATGCATCAAAGAGTTATGACAGTTTGAAATGAAAGGTCGTAATTTTTTTGTACTTATTGCTATATGCGAAAGAAAAGACCTTATTTCTTCGACTCTACGCGCAATTCTGAATGCGCTTTAAGCATTATAGTAGGTACGGACCGCGAGGAAAAGAGACGGCTATATAACAGACCATGCATATGAATATCACAAATATTTTCTTTTAAATTCAGTTTATAGTTTATAGTAAGTATTACAACAAAATTTGCTTCAATTGCGCTAATTTTTCAAACATTGATTAGATACCTGTCAATAAAACGACAATTTACGTACTATGAGTATTTTTTTCGCATTTCGGAGCTCTGCGGCATGTTGACTTTTCAACGGTCCGCGCGTGACTGTGAACAAAGAAGTGCTTGAGTGGTGTTCAAGCACTTCTTGATTGGGACACATTTTGAGCGCACGTGGTGTATCTAGGGTATTCAATATCGTTGACTTACAACTTTAACACTGGAGCTTTTTTGAGTATTTATTTTGTTAAATGTAACGTACAACGATGCTCAATGACAGCCGCCCGCGTTTTGTTCCTGTAGGCATATTCGCTAACTGCTTTTGAGAGATGGAATCAACGATATTAAATTTGAAAAGTCAAATTGCCGCAGAGCTCCGTGAAAAAATGCGAAAAAAATACTTATAGTATGTAAAGTGTCGTTTTTCGACAAGTATTTAATCAATGTTTGTTAATATAACACATTCGAAGCAAATTTGTTCTAATACTTACTATAAACTGATTTAATAGGAAATATTTGTGATATTTAAATGCATGGTCGGTAATATAGCCGTCTCTTTTCCTCGCGGTCCGTACCTGCTATATTGCTGACAGCGCAAGCGCTTCAGAATTGCGCGTAAAGTCAAAGAAATAAGGTCCATATTCTTCCGTATATAGCAATAAGTCGTAAAATTTTACGAGCTCTCATTTCGAACTGTCATAGCTCTTTGACGCATGCGTTTTAATTAAGTCCTTATACAGTATGCATTAAAGGTGACTTTCAATGTTTAATTAATGCCTTATATTGTTTTTGACCGTGCGATCATCTAACGGAGCTCCTTAGATCTTCTAATGTACCTTTTGGACACGTTTCGGCCACTATTTTGTTCGTATTGTTGTATCTAGGATATTTAATATCGTTGGAAGGAACTGATAATCACCGAGCTATTGAGTAATCCACTACTGCTTATTATAACGCCACTAAGATACTTGTTCTGTAAAGCATCGATGGATATGCAATTTTCTATTTACTTACACACTGTAATTGACGAAAAAGTTAGCAAATAGTCCGGGTGGTTTTCAAAAATAAATTTATTTTCTTGCAAAAACATATTGTATAATGCGATTTAACTAAGAATAGGACCGACTGGGCGCCATATTTTGACGCCATAGCTGTCAATTCAAACCAAATAGGTAGAGTGAGCAAAAAAATGTTGCTATTTAATAAAACTTATTTATTAAGATTAAGTGAGACAAAACATCTGATTTTTTTAATAAAATTAATTTACTAAGCTTGAGAAAGAACACAACCGATTTTTAATAGTATTTCTTTATAAAAAAACTGTGTGAAAAAAAACATTAATCAAAATCTAGCTCTTTAATTTCGCTCATCTCTGCATTACCGCCGGAGAAGTTATGAATGATCATGCAGGTCACATACGAACATACATCCTATATTTAAACGAAAGTTTTAAATCGAGTTTTTGAACGCAACATAAAGTGACATTTGGTTGACGATTTAGGTTATCAACCATTCATAGCCAAAGCTCAATCAATAAATGAAAAAAAAACAACTAATATTAATTATCAACATTTGTTATTGTTTGTTTAAAAATGTTTGGTTTTTATTCTAGAATCAGCCGAGTGCTAAAAAAGTGTTCCGAGATTTTTTTGCAAACCATACTTTTCAAGCGACATTTGACAGATGGAGGTCATTGGCTTTCCTATTCTTATTTGAATCGCTTTTACACACTGTAATCGACAAAAAAGTTGGCAAAAAGTCCGGCTGGTATTTTTCAAAAATAAATCTATTTTCAATTTATTTTCTTGCAAAAACATATTGTATTCTCAATTGTTAATCTTTAAACTAGCATATTTAATATATTGCAAGGTGAGTGCATTATTTTTTCATGCGTTTATCTTTCAATTCTCCCTAGGGTGACGCCTATAAATCCACGCAACGTGGTCTCCTCCGAGGCGTACGTTTTGTTCTACGAACTCGCGCGGAACAACTCATAGCCGCGGCCGAGGAAATAGCGACGAGTTTGCGATATCGCCAGAATGTTAATATGTGCACACTTTAGGGGCAAGAGTGGGGGCTAACGGGAAAAACCGGGGGCAACGGGAAAATCCCCTGGGTCAACGATAAATACTCGGCGCCAATAAGAATATTCAGGGGTTAACGGGAATAACCGGGGCCAACGGGAATACGATCGATATTACATAGCAACAATGCAATCTGAACGATATTACACTGTGCATTAATAAAAATGTGAGATTTTTGAGTAAATACGCACTCGAAGTGGAACTACTATTACTATTAATGATCGGAATTGATCGATGTTACGTTATATATTTGGTGACAAATTGATTATTGTACAAGTGTTCATGTGTGTTGTACACAGCTTAGGAAGTAAATTTGGGGGACAACGGGAATTGTTTTATTCATATGTACACACTTTAGGGGTTGGTTGGTATAATGTTATCTGACGGTATTGCACTGTTTCGAAACGATTTGTATAAAAAAACTAATGGGTAAAAATGGCGAATCAATGGGAATTTTTCCATATAAACTAAAGCTCTGTCAAATATACTGTTCAAATGATAAATACATTCAAAAACACAGTAACATTTTTTGTTGAATATCCTTTACTTATATTTACTGTAATATTATTGAAAACATTTTAAAAATAGTGACAGTATTAAATATATACTTATATTTAATAATGTCACAATAATATACTTGGGGACACACAAATCGAGTCTATTCCATTTCTTTTTTATTGAAAATGTATTGTTGTTGTATTATAATATTAACTAGCAAACCAGTGAACCAAATGTTCACCAAAACCTGATTTCTCGAAAACCGGAAGTGCTACGTTACTCAAATCCGGTTTGTAGTCTTATCAGACTATTCTTAACTTATAACTTAGATATTCTCTTTATCTATCTCTTACGGTTTGGCCGCTGAAACAGCACCACAGACAGACGGACTTGTCTAATAGATAATATTAATACTTTAAAACCGTTTTCAAAATTCAAACCTATCTATATGAACAATGACTATAGTTTTGATACAAAATATTAAAAGACACATTTCTATATTGCAACAGATAGAAAGAGGCTTGATTTTGTTTGTCCCCGGTTATAATAAACGAATCTGTATTTAACTATAAATTTTATGTATAGTTTATGTGCGAATCTCATTTTCAGTATTTATTGAGTTACATCTAAAGCAAAGTCAAGTGTTGTGTTGCCATGAAAAAAAATTTGTACCATATAAACATCACGTAGCTTCTACACCAAATTATTCAATAACATTAATGTGTTTAGGTAACGTTTATTTTTGTAATAATGATAAAATTCTACTTCATGATAAATCATACCCTATTACGTAAAAGTTAAAAAGCGTAAAATATATTTTTCACTATATATATTTTATATCTCTCACGCTTAATACAAAATTAAAAATGATTAAGCTAGGATTTTTATATGTTAAATAATAACAAAACCATTACGCTTAATTTCGAATTATGTTGAATTTAAAGTCAATTTTGCGGATAGTGGAGGATGCGGCTTCAAGAACCGTTTGCTGCCCGGCCGCGTAAAATTTATTCTAGTTTTTCAGTTTCAATTTTATTACTTTGTTTCGTTCGATTCTATCCTATCTAATCTAATCTAGTCTAGCAATTAAAAGTTACAAAAAAATAAAATATAGTGTATTCATTGTTACACCAAATAAACGCTATCGAATTACCAACTATTTCAAGACTCACACAATGCACTTGACTAGTGTTTCTCATTGTGTATTCATATAGTCGATTTTCTCAGTAGTATTTATTATTAAAATACTACGATAGAAAGCCGACAACTATGTTTCGTAATAGTAAAAGCATAGGCCCCCTCATATATTGCGGAGACTATAAACAATTTAATTTTTAGTTACTTACTCGTATCTTTAATAAAGCGAATATCACATTAGTATTTCGAATGTTACTCGAATTATTAATAGAATTCTAGGAGACCGCGAAGTGTATACATATTAATACATAGCAAGCTTTTACTTTGACGTCAGAGATGGGTTTGTATGTTAAAAATAATATACATATTATTATATTAGAAAATATATATAATAAAACTATTGTACAAATGCCTGAAACCTATTAATAAATAATATAAAAAATTGACGATAATTACTACAGATGCATAGATGAAAATAATTATATTTATTTACAAATGTAAATTGTAATTGACCAGAAATAAAAAGTAATGAAGCAAATGTATAAATAAGCAGATTTTGTGTAATAAAGGAAATACTATTATTGTATTTAGTTATTTTATTGAAATACACTGATAGCCTTTTTGTAAAAGTATTTCATTTTCAAATGTCATTGATCGGACACAAAATTTATGGGACTCAGCCCATATATTGATGAGAGAGATGTTAGAGAAAATTAACATGTTTATAAAATATATCACAGTGTCTAGTCTTTTTACTATTATGAAACAATGTATATCACAGATTAGTATTTAGCGACAGAGATTATTTATAAAATAGTTTAATTATATTTAAAAATCAATAAAAATACAATTATGTCATTAAATAAGAGGTTTATGACGTAATTGTATTTTTAAATTAACTAGACAAATTACGTTTTGTTTTGAAATTATTTCTGGTCAATTATAAAATATAATATGTACCATTAAAAGAACAAATGTAATAAAACATATACGATACATATATTACTTACAGTTAATTATGACGTTTGTAATACTTGCCAATTGTATATTTGTCATTATTGTATTATACAGATTATTTTGAAATTGCAATTTTTATTTCAGCATTTTAAAAAGGAAATGTTATGTATATATAACTTATATATAATCGTGTTAAATTGTCATACACTCATAGTATGATTTTGCGGTTTAGTTTTGATATAAATACAATGTTTTAAACATTTATAATTTAATCTGTATAATATAGTGCACATAAAATTTAATTAGATAACTTACTATTTATATTAAATTATTGTTTGTTTTTTTAATATTATTATTGCCCTAGAAATCCCTAGTCACGTGTTAAAATAATTCAAGAGATATAAAGAAAAGTGTATTATTATTAATATAAAAAAAAATGATTGTAAAACAATTTGATGACCCTAATTAAAACTGCATTACTTTTGAAACAATAATTGTTTGATGTTCGAAATCCTAGGTTTAAATATAACACTATCCCTTTCGCACATATGAGGACTGACAAAGCTAAAAACTGTCTCGAATCCGCGGATCTATTCAGATCTATTCAGTGTGTGTTACAAATAGTTTGTGTAGATCACACGAGCTTTTAATCAACGAGTATGTTTTAAGTGGTAAGTCTTCCACCTTTGAGGAGATCACAAGTTCCTTTTGCTGATGTTGTTTTTGTCTATAAGTAAGGTTCCAAGGGCTAGGGGATGGGGTTCAGGAAGGCAAAATGAGGATTGCTGGAGCTAAGATGAAATGAGAGATGAGTTACTAATATGTCCTACTAGTGGGACCACGAGGAAGCCCTATTCCTCGTTATCCTAATAGTAGGACAAAATATTAAATGATAAATTTTCATGTTCCCTTATGTGAAGTTCATGAGTAGATTATTATATACTAGCAAACCAGTGAACCAAATGCTCACCAAAACCTGATTTAAAAAAAAAGAAATGTATTTAATTAATTGAGAACTTCGGAGATTTTGTGTGGTTTCGTTTGAAATTCGTGATTTCTCGAAAACCGAAAGTGCTACGTTACTCAAATCCGGTTTGTAGTCTTATCAGACTATTCTTAACTTATAACTTAAATATTCTCTTTATCTATCTCTTACGGTTTGGCCGCTGAAACAGCAGACAGACGGACTTGTCTAATAGATAAGAGATAAATAGTCCAAAACGTTTATATGTTTATAAAATAATCTAGGAAAATCTGGTGTGGTTATACCGCAGTGCGTTAAAGTAGGCATTTAAAAATTCATAATTAACTCTGCAGTATGTGATGTATCTGAGGGCTTTTTCGTAAACCTACTAATGAGAGAAATTAGTAGGACCACGAGGAAACTGGTGTATTCTGCTGTATCAGCTGTCTTCGCGACCGGACTACTTACACTTAACGTCAGGATGCGGAGCCTTTTACAAAAAGTAATAATAATAATGCTTTATTTCTTCTCACAATCCCGTGTACAATAAAAATACGAACTTAATCAATTAATTAATGTCTTAATGACAAGATTGTGGAGAGACTGGTATCTGAACTAGGCCGCAGCCTGTATCAGAAGACCAGTACTCTCCCCTCTTTACAGTGGTACACTCGCGGAAAGACCCGCTTTGTCACCCATAATGCCATAATCGCTTGCTAATTAATTTATTTTATTCATAGACATGTAATTATCGCTGTCCTACTTTTTCGTATAGCGCTGTCGCGATCACGATGCGGATGACAAATTGCAACGAAAACAAATGCAATTCAATTCATTATTCAATCAATGAAATGCTCTCTGTCTTACTTTTGTGCGGCGGCCCGGATTGGCGCGTCCGACGCGAAGGCGGGGCGTAGTAAAAACTACTGTAGAAAACCGTTCAAAGCATTTTGTTCGCCAAGTGACAGAGCGCATAATTCCGCGGTAGTACATAATAACAAAATTACATGTTCTGAAAAAAAAAAAATTATATTTTTATTTATTTTTTAATATTTAACTGCTAGATGTATAAATCTTAAGAAAAGTTTATTAGAAAAAAAAACTATATGGTACAAAGCAGACAGTCACAGATGAAATTACATAAATATTTTGTTAGCTGACTTTGAACTTGATTCTGTCTGATCGATAGAGTTAACAAATTGAAGTTTTGGTAACTAAATGTATTTTTTTGTTGGTCTTCAAAAAGTAGTAAATAAGATATATCATACAAATATATAGCCCACCTGATGGTAATGGATACGAGCGCATTTGCTAGCGTCACACCTGTCTTTCCCAGTGGGCATCGGGGCCCCGCGATCGATAGGGGCCCCCTCAGATCAAATAGAAAGTCCCTAGTTCCTGTTAAATCATCAAACGGAAGTCATAGGGGCCCCATTATCCTAATACTAGCAAACCAGTGAACCAAATGTTCACCAAAACCTGATTTAAAAAAAGAAAAAAAAAATTAATTAATTGAGAACTTCGGAGATTTTGTGTGGTTTCGTTTGAAATTCGTGATTTCTCGAAAACCGGAAGTGCTACGTTACTCAAATCCGGTTTGTAGTCTTATCAGACTATTCTTAACTTATAACTTAAATATTCTCTTTATCTATCTCTTACGGTTTGGCCGCTGAAACAGCAGACAGACGGACGGACTTGTCTAATAGATAAGAGATAAATAGTCCAAAACGTTTATATGTTTATAAAATAATCTAGGAAAATCTGGTGTGGTTATACCGCAGTGCGTTAAAGTAGGCATTTAAAAATTCATAATTAACTCCGCAGTATGTGATGTATCTGAGGGCTTTTTCGTTTATATCGACCTACCCCTTGGAGCCCTGGAACCTTACCGACACAAACAACACCACCAAAAAGTAATGTTATTACACTTTTGTCTTCTCGGAGGTGGTGGTTGGTTCCTCATATGGGCGAGCGGGAAATCTGCAAAACAAAACTTTACTCGTGGTACATACCAACCACTTAATGTCTCTCT